TAGGACGAGGGTGGCGGCGGAGGGAGGTGCGGGAGGGGGGGGGGGGGGGGGGTGGCTCGCGGTCCTAGTCTGGCGGGAACCTCGCGTGATCTCGCGTGATCTCGGGGAGGGTTTGGCCGTCTCGCGGCAGTCTCGCCTTGTCCGGCGGGAAGAGCTCGTTGAACATCTCCGGCCAGATGTGCCGCGTCTCGTACGGCTTGGTCTCTTGCTCCTTTTGGAAGCCTGCGGCGTGCGGCGAGAGGCGGCTTGCCAGGTCCTGGCACAGAGAGGCCTCACCGCATCCTCGCGGCGCTGGTGGGCGTGTCGTGGGCGTGTCGTGGGCGTGTCGTGGGCGTGTCGTGGGCGTGTCGTGGGCGTGTCGTGGACGTGTCGTCGGCCTCACCTGGTGTGTCCATGTCGGGGGGGAAGGCGATGTGGAGCTGCACCGCCGTGTCCGCGTACCTACTCGCGCACGGCCCGGAGTGAGAGCGCGAGGCGCGGCGGCGGCCCCGCCGCGCTGCGCCGCACTCGTTGCGCAGCACGTCGAGCAGAGAGCGGCACGCAGCCTTGGAGGGGGCGTACGCGGCGTACCCGATGAAGGGGACGGCCGCAACCATCGACGCGACGGCGACGAAGTGCGGCGTCACGCTCGGGTCGGCGGCCGACCGCTCCGCCATCTTCGGCAGCACGTGCCTCGCCGCGTGCAGCACGCCGTAGTAGTTGACGGTCATCATGCGCTCGTAGTCGGCGATGCGGAGCTCCTCAAAGTACTTCGGCATCGCCGCCCCCGCCGCAGCGATGCACACGTCCACCGGACCGAGCTGCGACTCGGCCTGCTCGATCGCCGCGCCGAGCGCGGCGCCGTCGCCGACGTCGCCGCTGAAGACGCCCACCGCGGCGCCGGGCGCCGAGCTGGCGAGCTCATCGCGCGCAGCGTGCAGCTTGCTCATCGTGCGCGCCACCAGCGAGACGCGTGCGCCCCGTGCCGCGGCGATCTTGGCCACCTCGAGGCCGACGCCCTCCGAGCCGCCCGTGATGAGCACGTGCTTGCCTGAGAGCGACTCGCGCCGCCGCCGGCTGCCGAGGAGCAGTGGCATCGACACGGCCGCCGCCACACCCAACGCCACCCAGACGAGTGGCTGCGTCGCGGTGATGGCGGCCCACGGGAGGATCGACGCCATATATTCGGCCGAGAATGCCGGAAGAATTTTAGCACTTATTCGCTGCGGGTAGCGAACCGACGCTGCTTGACCTGTTAGCGTCGGTTCGCTCTCGTCACGGTCGGGCGTGAATGACAGAAGAGAATTGATGACAGGAGAATCCTCACATCCGGGGCACGTGGGTGGCGCGCACTGGCACTAACACAGGTACACCACGGACGGGAGCCGCCTAAGCGACTCCCGCGAGGGCGGCGAGGCACTTAGCTCCGTGCACCCGCCCGCCCCCGCCACAGGCAAGCTCATTCACAACCTGCTCTGCGATTGCCGTGTGAAGAACGAACGAACGACCGAGATACGCTGCTTCTGCTCCCTCGCCGCCTCCCTCGCCGCCGCCGCCGAGCTCGCCTCCCTCGCCGCCTCCCTCGCCGCCGCCGCCCTCTCCTCGCCTCCCTCGCCGCGACGGGGCCGCCACCGTATGGACACGCTCGGAATAACCTGGGGGATCCGGAACCGCCCCGCCGGAGGCTGGTGTACCCGGGAGGAGGAGATGGGGGAGGGGAGTTGCCGCAGTACGATAGCGGACCCTCCGGCGAGCCGGAGGGCCGTGGCCGGAGGGCCCCGGGGGGGGCTTGGGGTCAGCGGTCGGAGGAGGCGAGAGACGAGCTGACGCGGCCTCTGCGAGTGGAGTCGGGACGTACGAGCTCACCGGGGGAGGGCCCGTCGCAGTGGCAACCGGATCACCGCGACCTTCGACAGGGAGGGCTCCCCGAGCCTGGAGAGGAGCCGGCGGAGGGGGAGGGCGAGCCAAGGACGATAGAGAGGCCGCGGGTGCGGGCACGACTCGTCGACCAGGGAGAGCGGGCTCGACCTCCCGGGGGGGGGGAGTGGGCGTGGCCCAATGCCACCGTTCTCGCCCAGGGAGTCGGGAGCGGGGTCACCGGAGGCGGAGTCAGCGGGATCGGGCAGAGAGGACGGAACGACGGCGGGGCCGCGGCCAAAGAAGGCTAGGAGGGGAGGTCGGGCCTCGCGCCCGCCGTATAACCATCGAGAAGCACACAGGAGAGCAGACCGAGCGGGGGGGGGAACCCCACCGGAGCTGGGGCGGGGAGACCGGGCGAAGGGGTTCTGCCGACCTAGTGGTGACCAACCTCACTCGATACACTCCGTGGCGATCCACCGGCAACGGACGCTGCCGAGGAGGCACCTTTGGCCAGATCAACATGCGCTCCAGCACAGAGACAACCTTCCGGTACAGCTTCGTCGAGCCGGGCACGGACACGCCGCTCTTTGTCCCGTTCGGCTTCGAGTTTTGCTACTTTGACCTCGACACTGGAACGGGAGGCACGATGAGGGAGACCATCAAATCGTGCGGCGTCGACCTCAACCGAGGCGGCTACTTCATGCACGGACGACTGCCGCCGGCCTGGGCTGCGTCGGGTCCTTTGTCCTTTGCCGGACCACCTCTGCGCCAACGTCGACACGTCCGAGTACATCGGCGTCAGCAGCCCTGGCGATGGTTGCGTCACGGCGGAGGGTCTGAGAGAGGGCCGGGCGAGCGACAACCCGGTCGACTTTTACGAGGTGCTGATGGGCACGAGCGAGCCAGCCTTCAAGTCGACGAGCGGCGTGTGCGCCGACTACGACACCTGCCCTTCTAGGGTACCATACTTGACCCCCCCCCCCTGGCGCATCGTCTTTTCGTGCCAAACCAGCGCGATCTCGGCGGGGCGTCAGCGCCTCTCGGAGGGGCATCATGCGCTCCCGGGGCCGCCCGACGGCGCGGGCCTCGTGCTGATGGACCCAGCCGAGGTGCCCGACCAGTCGGAGTGGCGCTGACGCGCCGCGCGCGACCACCAGCCAGCTTTCCGGCCGGGCCGAGAACGGTGCCTCGAGAATGTAGACACTCCAAACAGTTGCCGAGTTTTTTTCCTCTTTTTGAGCGCGGCTGCTGCACACCCAGCCCACCAGTGATACTAGACGCACCAGATTCACCCCGTCGCGAGCTTGACCGCGACCCCGGTGACCGCCCACAGGTGGCTGATCGCGGCCGCCGCTCACGCTGCTTTTCGGCGCCTGGCTCTCAGAGGGCCCCTGCGGCTCTCTCTCGTCGCGTGACCGCCGCCGACATCATGTGCTCGGTCGTCCCCGCCGGCGCGGAGCTGCGCCACGTCGAATTGTTCGGTAACTCGACCGCCGGCGCGCCCGCCGGCTCACCTCTCGCGCCGCCCCTTCGCACAAAGCCCGCTCACGCCGCATGTACTCAGCCATCGGCGCGACATCACCCCCGCGCAGGCACCTCGCGACGGGTCGGCGCACTCGTGTGGCTCAACGCGGACCTACGGAGCGACTCCGCCGCGGCTCGGCGCTGCCCATGGCAGCAACAGGTGCCGCCCCACCACCCGCCTGCTGCCTCTGCCTCTCTCAGCCATGCGACCCCTCCGCCAATGCACACCTCGAACGCGACGTCAGATCCCGCTGCGACTGGCAACAGTCGCGGTGATGAGGCCTCCGCCAGCACTGATCGTCACAACTCGTCTGTTACGCTACACGTTTTTGCCCTGTGCAGGTGAGCGGACCGCTGCAGCCGCAGTGGAGCCGCGGGTCGGGCGAGGGAATGGCCTTTTGGCGCGGCGCTGCTATGTGCCTGCGCGCTCATGGCGCGTTCAGGGGTGCGCCTGCGGTGTGTAGACTGCGGGGCGCCGCGCGGCGCCGACGATTGTGTCGCTCATTGTCACACCGTCGACACGGTCACACTGTGTGTGCAGTGCGTCCACTCCGGCGACCGTGACGCCGTCGGCGCTCGCCTATACCGGCTAGTGTGGAGCTCTCAGTGTGGTTGCGTGTTGTACTAGTGGTGCTGCACTAGGCGGCCCGTTTTTAGCAAAAAGCAGATACCACATCGCGTGTGGTCGTCGAAAAACCGCATGTTCGCCCGTCTGGGACCTCTTCGTACGGCTCCAAAAACCGCTCCTTAACGACGACTACGCGGCCCTGCGGTCGATCTGCGCCTTCTCAGCGGTGGAGGGGATGTGGGCGGTACGTGCGGACCGCGTGGCGCTGCGATGGCTTGACGAGTGCGACTCCCAGCGTCGACTTTTCGACCCCACGGAGCCTCTGCTGCTCCGGGGGGGGGGGGTCTGCAGACCACCCGGCCGAACTTCAGAGTCGCGGTGCTCCTCAAATACCGCTCAAACGCCCCCGATGTTGTGGAGGGGACATATGCTGATGATCCTGGCCCGATTGGTTCGCGCAGAAAGCTTCTGGGCGGTCGTTAAGGTTCGCTCCCCGCACACCGGCCCGGAAGTATGGTACCCTAGACCCTGCGTCCGTCATTGGCGTGATGGAGTGCGGCGCTGCGAGGGACGGGGTGACGCCGGGCACGCCCGGCGTGGACTGCGGCGCCGGCGTGTCTGGCTACCGGCGCCCGCCTGGCGAGTGGACTGCGGCGCTGGCGTGTGCCCTCCGCTGGCGGAAATGGTTTCAGCAAGACCCCGATCAACGCAATGCAAGGGTGGAAGGTGGAGATCACGCCGGCGGGCGGGACCGCAGTGTCAGAGGTTACCCCCGGGTCGCCGTACCTCGGCGAGGGCCAGCAGGTGTGGGAGCGTGTGTCCGTCCCGTTTACGGCGGGCACCGGCACCACTGCCGCCCTCGTCCTCAGAGGCGACCCGTCGTGGACGGAGGGTGGGACCCACCGTGTCATGGCGGTGGACGACGTCAAGGTCGAGTGCAGGTGAAGCACGCGTGCGGCTCGTTTATCAGGTATGGCTCGGGCTCGGCGCAGTACGGGCCGCATACCACGAATGAATACCTGACAGATTGGGAGGGGCACTGCAGGTGCTGCTGCGACTGCAGGAGCGTGTGGGTCGACCGCAGCACAACAATGGACGAGCGGACTATAACTCGCACGTCCCGGCCCGCGGTTTTTATTTTTCGCGAGAGAATTTTCTCGTAAAGTTCTCTCTTTATCGATTTGTGGAGCGAAAACCATAACCAACTAACTCAACTTGACTCTTGAGCTGCGACCTGCGTCACCGGTAGCGGTACGTCAGTACTATCTACTAACTAGCTCTATTAGACTCTAACTCAGAAACCCCCCCTGCGCTCTTTGAATATTGAAAAAAGAAGACGGGTTTAGTCGTGTAAAATTGCTAAAATTCCTCTCTCGCCGGCCTCCCCGCCGGGGGGGTCGGTCCCACCTCGCAGGGCGGCCCCAGGCTCACATGACCTGCCGCGTGGAGATCGGCCCGTAGCTGGGATCGGGGGTGTGGTACTCGTTGCGGTGGTCGTAGTCGGTGCACGCGCGCCTGTGGCACGGATGAGCAAATAGATGCAGGCGTGTGAGTGCGGGTTGTGTGGAGTCGGGCGGGGCGAGCGTCGCAAACGCCGGCAACGAGCGAGGGTATGCATAGAGATTGAGAAGTGCTCGCGGCCCGCCTGATGTGGTCGCAGGCCCAGAGAAGCTCCTCGAGGCAAATGTTGATCTTGTCGAGCAGGTAAAGGCTCAGCGTGGGCCGTTGCGACGCCTGGTCCTCGAGCGATGAGCGGCGTCCGGTGAGCGTCATGCCGATAGAGTTCACTTGCACATTCTCGTGCTGGTTCTCGGACCCCTCGGTGAGCAGCCGCCGGCACGAATGGCCTGACAGCGAGATCAAGACTCATGTCGCAGCTGGTCTACCCCTGTGTACCCTGCCGCGGCGTGCGCACCGCGGAAGGCACTCTGCAACATGATTGCCGAATCCCGTTTGGATAGAAAACTGCGCCGTCCTGATCGCGCCCGTGACGCCGCTTGGAAAAGCACGGCGGCGGCATCTTGCCGGGCCTGCTCGACGTACGCCAGCACCGCAGCGATCGCCGAGGGGCTGCGAACTGGCAGGTTGGGCCGCATGTCGGAGACGGACAGCGACCGAGCAGCAGCTGGCGGGTCGGGCATTTCGCAGCCGGCGAACAGTGACCGAGCAGGACCGAGCCCTCTCTTTGGGACGCCGTGGAATCAAACAAAAGAATTCAAGGGAGTGGGGCGGCTTCTTTTTCTTCTTCTTTTTTCTTTCGGGGAAATTTTTCTTCTTTCGAGAAGGGCCAGGAATGGAGACGGACCACGGGAGGGCGACGTCTAGGGCCGGCTCGCCACTGATCGCCGAGGCTTCAGGCGCCACGCTCGCCTCGAGCATCGCCAACCTCACCAACACCCAGCCCACGAGGCGGCCCGTCCCGGGTTGACACATATAGGTAGGTAGGGGCGGGCCCAACCGCCCCGCGACGGCTCCAGGAGAGAGCGCACAGAGCCCGACACGTCAGCAGCTGCTGAACCTAACCCCCCCCCCCAAACTTCACATGGTATCTGGCCAAACCAACACGTACCGGCCTGCATGTAGTACACACAACACTGTACTAGGACACGCAGCTGTCTCTACCCGGCGGACGGCGAGGGCCACCCCGCGACCGCCTCCGCAATCTGCGTCGCGCTCTTTGTGATGAAGGAGAAGTGGTCGCCCGGAACCTTTGCGGCCGTCGCGTGCGGCACGCGCTCGAGCAGCACGCCGGCGGTGCCGTTCTCGCGGATCTGCTCCGTGTGCACAAAGAGGACCGGCGCTCGCACCGGGCCGAGCGGCTCCACCACGCGGTCGGGCAGCTCGATGAGCCGCACCGCGGCGGCGGCGGCGTCTTCGCCCGCATCCTCGAGCAGGGTGAAGAGCATCCGGAACGAGCCGGAGCGCTTCATCACCGCAAACTGCATGGCCTGCGCCGCCGAGTTTGCGCCGCCGCCCTGCGGCCCGAGCGAGGCGGAGCGCCCGTCCGGCGGCGGCGCGAGGCCCATGTTGAGCCGGATCTCTTCGGCCACCTCCGACGCGTACCCGCCCATCCGCGGCGGGTAGCCGTCGTCGCCGGCCGCCGGCCCGTCGAGCAGCACGAGCTCGACCGGCCGCCCCTCCGCCTCGAGGAGGCACGCCATCCAGTAGGCGACGCGGCAGCCGAGCGAGTAGCCAACCAGGGCAGGGGATTCAGCTGATGGACCAGCCAGAGGCGTCGCACGTGGACCCAACCTCCACCGCCTATGCGGCCAGGTACGGAGGCGGCGCGTTCGGGAGCGGCGCAGCCGGCGCGCCGAAGGCATTGGCAGAGGGCGGCCGCGCGACGGGCGTGTGAGGGGAAACAGAGGAATGCAAAAGACACACATGCGCGTCTCGCGTGCTCCGCACCCCGTGTGTCCCTTTTTGTGATTCTGTTCCACATGGACATGGTCATGGAGCTCGTTTTGGTCCGTCAGCACCTCTCGCCCGCACTGCTCGAAGAGGAAGCGGAGCGCGTCGACGTGGCCGTTGCCAGCGGCGAGGTGCGCTGGCGTGACGCCATCCGCCATCGCAGCCGTCAGCACCTCTCGCCCACACTGCTCGACGAGGACGCGGAGCGCATCGACGTGGCCATCCTGAGCGGCCAGGTGCGCTGGCGTGCCGCCCTTCTCGTTCGCAACCGTCAGCACCTCCGCCTCCGCCTCCGCCTCCGCCTCCGCCTCCGCCTCCGCCTCCGCCTCCGCCTCCGCCTCCGCCTCCGCCTCCGCCTCCGCCTCCGCCTTCGCCTCCGCCTCCGCCTCCGCCTCCGCGACTGCTGCCTCTGTCGCAGGCGGCGGGCCGCGGGAAGTTGGGCGATTCCACCACCAGTAGCACGGCGGCACTGCCTCCGCCGCCACCGCCTCCGCCGCCGCTGCCTCCGCTGCCTCCGCTGCCTCCGCCTCCGCCGCCTCCGCCGCCGTCGCCTCCGCCACTGCCTCAGCCTCCGCCTCTGCGATCAGAGCTGCGTCCGTCAGACGGTGCTTGTCCGGGTGAACAGCCCGAATACGTTTGAGGAAGGCGCGCTTCAACTCAGAACCGTACACGAAACGACTCACCGGCAAGCCGAGCGCCTCAAAGTGGTTCGCCGCGAACACCACCTCGCGAATGGCCGGAAGGAATTCGTTCATCTCGGCCTCGGAGACAACAGGGGTGGCAGAGCTTGGACGGCTCTCGCCTATGACGTACGAACGGAGCCCCAGCTCGTCCTTGAATTCCTTGCGCTCAGAGGAGCTCCAACAGCTTAAGCGCATAGGGCAAGTCGAGCTCGAGGCACAGAATGATCGAGCCGCTCCGTTTCCAGAGGTTGGTCGGACGCCGTCGCCAAGGGGGAGTGTGTGTCGTCGCGTGTCCTTGTCTGGTGTTTACTAGCTCCGAGTAGAGGGGGCGTTCTGCTGCTAGGGGAAACCCGGAGCGCGGTACTAACCCTCGGAGACCTGTGTTTACTTTACGGCCCTTTCCCTGCGAACGCGCACCCCCCAGGGCTAGGGCTCTCTTGCCCGCAACCCGATGCCAATCATCCGGCCCGCTGGGTGCGCTTCTTAGCCGCTCCCTGCACCCTGGACCCTGGCCCTGGAAGTGGATGACTGCACTCCACAAGTGCTCCAAGTGCTCATAAAAATAAACGAGGCCTCGTTCACATATCACAACTCTCCTGAGACTCTCACAGTCGGGAGGAACTGTGGCTCAAAAATACATGAATACTATGTCTGGCGTCCAGTACACCGTCTACTTCCACGGGTGGGTCCCCTCACGCCGGCACCCCGGCACGCTCCCCGCCTCCCCACCACGCCGAGCTCCACACCGCGCGCCAGCGCGACTGGCGGCCGGCCCACGCCTTTTGCGAGCGGCGCAAGTGGCGGAGCAGCAACGCGTTGACCTGCTCGCTGGCCTCTACCACGCTCATGTGGTTGGCGTCGAGCATGTGCAACTCGGCGCCGAGCAGCCGCGCCATCGCCTACTCGCCGCTGGAGGGGTGAGAGGGGGGGGGGGGGGGCGAGGCTCGGGGCCGCTTCGGAGGAGGAGGAGCCGAGCGCCCGCGCGGCGCGAGGGCGCACGATGATGTCCTCGCGGCCGTGCAACACCGCTTTGGGGACCGCCCTCTCCCGCAGCGCGCGCACGTCCCGCTTGCTCATCCTGTGCCGCATCACCGCTGCAACCTGCCCCGCCAGGCCGGGCGCCCCTCCGCCGAGCTTCTCGCGCGACGCCTGAGAAGGAAAATAATATTATACTGAGAAGCAATTATATTCTGCAAGTATGGCTGGTTGGGAATAAAAAAACCAGAGCCGCGCGCAAGGGCTCGGGAGGAGCAGCGCTCAACGGCTCGGGAAGAGAAGCGGAGGAGGAGGAGGCGGGGAGCAGCGCCTCGGTAGTGGGCGATGTGGGGAGATGTGGGGAGATATGATGGGGAGATGTGGTGCGCCTCGTAGTGGGAGAGCAGCTCGTCGTAGTTCGAGTCGAGCGGCGGCAGCCCGCGCCGCCGCCGCCGCCGCTCCACCCGCCGCTCGAGCAAGGCCAGCCGCCGCACCCGCCGCGCCTGCCATGGCCAACCTCTGTCAACCTCTCCTCTCCTCCGCCCTCTTCCGCCCCTCGCAGCGCTGGCCGACGCACCTGCAGCCGCTGTAGCCTCCTCTGGCGGTAGGCGGCCGAGGCGGCGTCATACCGCACGCGCGCCTTTGACAAGAAGGGGTCCCAGACAGTTCCGGGCGGGCTCCGCGAGACAGCTAGGGGGAGGCGTGCCGCTCGCGCGCCGCGTCGTACCGCCGCCGGCCAAAGTAGACGGCACGCCTTGAAGGGGGGGGGGGGGGTGGGGCGGGTGTGGGTGGGAG